GCTGGAGTAAGGCACTCTCAGGCTGTCTCCAAAGGTCTGGGCCCCTACTAGCCAGTAGGGGAACCTGGCCCTGGGGCAGTGGGAGGGACTGCAGGGGCTGGGCACAGCAGGATTTGGGAAGCTCACCATTCAGAGGCCCAAGTCAAGTTCTCTCAGGCAGTCTGCAAAGGTCTGGCTCTCCTTGTTGTCTTGAACCTTTATTAACATACATGCCCTGCTTTGTCTCTTGTACACTCTTAAAGTATTTTGTCTGAAATTTTTGTCTGAAATACTCCTAGGTATTTCTTATATGGAAGGTCTAGTGGTAACAAAATTTTCCCTCTACTTTTGTTTATCTGGAGACATGTTTTTATTAATTAAATTTGTTCTTTGACAGTTTCACACATGTACATAATGTATGCTGAACACTCTCAACCTCCACACTCTCCTTTCTCCCTGCCATACTATCTCTGTCCATTGCCCCTGTTCTCTACGAATCTCTTTTTCATATTGATGTTCATAATCTTTTAAATTTTCTTGTATTGGGAAAAAACATTTTTTGTTGGACATAGGTTTTTTTTTTTTTTTTTTTTTTTTTTTTAAACATTTTGGTCATGTCAGCTCGTGGCTTTCTGGCCTCCAAGCTTTCTGATGATTCTTTCTGCTGTAAGGATCTTTAAAAGATCCTGTTTAAATAGGCTGCTTTTCTTAGGCTGTTTTAAAGATTATTTTTCTTCCAGTTCATTGAGCTTCTTGACTGTTTATATTAATGTAATTCATGAAACTGGGGACGTTTTCTGCCATTGTTTTTAAAAATATTTTAAAGCATGCACTGCCTTCTGGAAGACACTGCCCCAGGCCTCCAGGCTGTTGTCACCTGATTGGCTCTGTAACTGTGTCTTTTGGAGGCCGTTCCATTGTTCTATCAGGGCAGCTGTGTCAACATGGTGGGGAACATGGTAGGAGCAGTGGATTCTATGACCATGGGCCCACTGTGGAGGTTTGAATCAAAATGTCCTCCATAGGCTCCAAGTGTTTGGACATTCTGTCCCCAGATGATGGTGCTGTTTTGGGAGGTTTTAGAAGGTGTGGCTATCCTGGAGGAAGCACGTCACTGGGGGTGGGCTTACAGAGCTCTTAAGCCTTGCCAGATCTCCAGTTGCTCTCTTGCTTCCTGTGCCTGTGTGATGATGTGAGAGCTTAGCTTCTGCTGTTTCTGGTCCGGCCCCCATGCCTCCCTGCCATGACGGACTGTAATTCCCCTGGAACCGTAAGCTCAATTAAACTCTTTTCTATTAAAAAAAATTAGCTTTTTCATTTCTTTTTTTAATCTTCTGGCATTTGTTATCTTTTGCATCTTATTAAAATAGTGAAATAGTCTTTGTTTTCTTTTTATTTGCCTTCTGCAGACTGTCAGTAACCCTAGTAATCTTTATCATGTCTAAGTTTTTTTCTGTCCTTGTAAGGAAGGGGATTCTTTTATTTCTTCTACTTGTAGTAATCCCATTATTTTTACATTACATTTTGTGTAGTTGTCTCACAATTATTAAATATTTTTCTTTGCTTTTACTGTTTTCTCTTTGCTTGGCAATTTTGAAAGTTTTTACTCTTATACCTTCAAAGCTTTGAGATTGTTTCCTGAGCTATGTCATCTACCATTTTAGGATTCATTCTGTTATAGTGTTTTTGATCTGTAGCATTTTATTTTGATATTACATTACATTTTGTGTAGTTGTCTCACAATTATTAAATATTTTTCTTTGCTTTTACTGTTTTCTCTTTGCTTGGCAATTTTGAAAGTTTTTACTCTTATACCTTCAAAGCTTTGAGATTGTTTCCTGAGCTATGTCATCTACCATTTTAGGATTCATTCTGTTATAGTGTTTTTGATCTGTAGCATTTTATTTTGATATTTTTTAATAATTTCTAACTTTGTTTGCATAATCATCCTGGTTTTGTATATTGCTTACTTTGTCCATTAGACCTCTTTGCATTTTAAAGTTTTGAAAAATTTATTTTTGTGTGTGATTTTGGGAGCTAAACTCTGGGTTTTATACATGCTAAGCCAGGGCGCTCTCACTGAGCTATATACTAAGCTCAATTTTTTAAAATTCCTGGTTTGATCATTGTAATGTTTCTGCTTTTCTGACTCTGAGGTATCTTCACACTGTCTTCATGTTCTTTGACTTTCAGTATGCCATGTACTTTGTTGAAAATCAGACAAAATGTATTGAGAAAAAGAATGGTAACTAAAACCTTTTATAATGTATTGGTGTATGAAGAAGGGGAATTCTGTCTTTTGGTGAGCCTGTGTCTCTGTGTTTTCTGTGTCTCTGCCCCTCCCTAATCAGGACAGTTTGGCTAGTGGGGCATAAAGTTGAGTATTTCTTTTTTTCATATACAATGGTAGATAATGTTATAGCTGAGCATTTCACTGGCTCTTGTGGAAACCTAGAGTTGGCTAGAGTTTGGAATTTTCCTTTTACCAAGTCATTTAGGCTTTGCCAAGACTTTACCAGATTGTACTGTAGGAAAAGTAATTTTTCTCCAAGGCTTGGCTTGTTATTAAGAAGAATGCCATACCTCGAATACTTCAAAATGCTTCCTTGTGCCCTAAGAGTCTGAGGGAATTTTTCTCCAATATTTACAGCGAGGATCTGTTAGAGTCATGTGTAAAAACTGTGAGCCACCCGATGACTGAACCCTTTTATAATTTTATCTTGGAGATGCTTCTACGCCAAGATTCTGGAAATTTGTCAGTTACAGACCAGACTTTCCTACCTGGCATTCGCCAGAGGCTTCTATCAATGTATAACTGCTCTGCCATGATTCTCTGTATCTACCCTGTGTATGGGGCAATGCTTTGTCTTTGACCTTATTTTTCTGTTGTATGCTAGAAGAGTTGTTCATCTCAGATTTTTATCTGTTAGGCTGGAGTAAACACTTCTAAGTTCCTTATATGCCAGCCTGAAAATCTTATTGAACACATAAAGCCTCTGTCTTAAATGACATTAAATCCCTGTCATAAATATTATGTGTCATAAATGGCACTTTCTGAGAATGTAGAAGATTTGGTTTCTGGATCTTCTGTTTTATTTTCTCTTATTTCCCTTAGTTTAAAAAAATCTTAATAATGTATTTTCCTTTACATCCAGTTGATTTTGCTTGAATGCTAATAATCTTTGTAAAAAAATTAGAAATAATTACTTGAATTATCTTAATTTAAACAAGATTTGAGATATTTTAAGTTTGGTGATTTCTTACTTTATCTTTTACTTTTAAAATTTATCTTCAGTGAACCAAACCTGTTGACTGGCCAGGTCATCAGGCCATTGACTGATTTCCAGACCTCCCCTTCTTGTTTTCTCAAGGCCATGGTTCTCCCAGGGCAGTGTTGAATATTTCAGTTTTCCCATGTGGCTATTTACTCTAAGGCTCATGTTCCTCTATGACATGAGTTTATCAGAAGTCATTCTTAATTTCTTGCCTCTTGATTGTCTCTATCAGAATTGTCAGATAACAGCAAGGAAAAACAGCCCCAAAGGCCAGACTCAGCTCTCTGGATTTCCTTATACCAAGTTTTAGATTTGCTGTTTTTCAGTGCTTCCTGTTAGCGATTCTTGGTATTGTCTGCCTTTTCCAATTGACCTTAGAAGGAGCCTTGCTCTTGGATTACTGAATCTCTTAGATTACCTTTTCTCTGCTGTATTTAGAGCCTTTGCATGCTTTGTTCCTTTTACTTGTTAGGCTCCCTTGTTTATTGCTCCCGAATTCCCAGCTTATAATATGTAACTCCTGCTATAGATAGGTGCTAAAGACCACCTTTTTCTCAAAGTGTTCACTGTCTACCTAATTGACTTAGGTATTGTTACTGTGGAATCTCTCATGCCTCTCTCCAATGCTTTCATTGTACTTGTAGTTCATAATTATATATTCATTGATATTTTTATTTCATTTGATGTTTCTCTCCCTTGTGGACTTTAAAACTCTTTAAGAAAAGGTTATATCTTGCTGGTTATGGTAGCAGGGATCCATTATCTTAGCACTCAAAAGACAAGGCAGGAAGGTGGTGAGTTCTAGGCTAGCTCAGACTACACAGAGAAACCCTGCCTCAAATACACAAATAAGCAAACAAGAAAGATGTAAAAAAAAAGGGGGGGGCATGTCTGTTTTTCTCATTGTAGCCCAAGTTATGAATTAAGAATTTCTTTCTTTATAGATGACCTATGAGAATAGATGGTTTAATGTAACTTTCATTTGTGAAAATGGTAGAATTTAAAGGAAGTAATTACTCCTTTTTTCATCAGTTCTTGGAAAGTTGAAAGGGTATGCATTTTTTTTTTGGTTTTGTAAATTTATTACAAAATATTTCAGACATACTAAATTTTAGGGTGTTTTCTTATGTACTTAGCAGTCCTTATCATACTGATTAAGAAATAGATATAACATATTTATGAAAACATGTGTGATCTACTAAGATATTCACAAACATATCTACACAGTAGTTATTTTGACTTTTATTTATTTATTTTTTCAGAGCTGAGGACCAAACCCAGGGCCTTGCACTTGCTAATTTTTTTAGTATGTGTGTGGGTGCATGAGTGCACACATTACAGTATGTGTGGAATACAGAAGAATACTCGTGGGAGTTGGTTCTCTTCTTGCATCATGTAGGTTTTAGGGATCAAGCTCTGGTCCTCAGTCATGGCAGCAAATAACCTTACCCATTGAGCCATCCCACTTATCTTTCTAAATAAGAAAGATAGGAGAAAAAGGGTTATATCTCTTTTCCTTTATAAAACCCCAAGCTATGACTTAAGTGGAGAACTTTATATTTCTCATAGATGAAATAAAAAAATGAAAGGTTGAATGAGACTTCCGTTTGTGGAAAATAGCACAAAGCAATTATACTTTTTTAAAATGAGTTCTCAGAGGCATATTGAAGTTGATCATTGTTTATTATTGACTTGTTGAAAACAGAATTTTCTTAAGAGATTTTTTCTTCAAACTTTCAGATGATACAGCAGTGTTCGAGTTGATACAACTAGTTCCCCCAGGTACTGTATTGTTTATTGATAAGATAACTAGCAGGGCAAATAATTTCAAAGAAATGTTTTTAAACATCTCATCTTTCTCTCTTCTTACCAAATTAACAGAAGTGTTTATTTTTTTATATCTTTGATTCACTGTATGTAAAATGTATTCCAAAACAGTATATATCAAAAAGTTGATATACATTGACATACATTGTTTGAATACATTGTTTTGAATTTGAATATATAAAAATAATCGAAAGTGGATAATAACATGTTATCACTTTAGGATAATTTGTGACAGTCATAAAAGTAATTTAGATTTTTTTTTCTAAAATTGCATATTTTCATTGATTAAAAAGGGTTTATTTTTGTTGCCCTCAGGCCTCTCTTGGGGTAAGTCTATCGCGCAGCCCTCCATGCCTTGATTCCCGCAGCCGCATTCACCCTTCCATCTCCCCTGCTGTTCTCTACTCCTAACTTGGGCTCTGTGCCATTCCAAGTCTTGGGGCCCCAGACACCTTGGGAGCCAGTGCTGCTTCCTGATCCTTTTCACCCGGACCGGCTTGGTGCCTTCCTTGGGCCCAAGGAGCACTTGTTAAAGCTGTAGTGAAATGCTTCGTCTAATCATGTAGTTATTAAAAATTTTAAAAATGGCTCCTACCCTCAGGCCTCTCTTGGGGTAAGTCTATCGCGCAGCCCTCCATGCCTTGACTCCCCCAGCCGCATTCACCTTTCCATCACCCCCGCTGTTCTCTACTCCTAGTTTTGGGCCCTGTGCCATTCCTAGTCTTGGGTCCCCAGACACCTGGGGAACCAATACTGCTTCCTGATCTTTTTCACCCAGACCAACTTAGTGCCTTCCTTGGGCCCCAGGAGCACTGCTTCTGGATCTGGCCCCGCCCTCACCTCCCTCTGCTTCCCTGGTCCTGCAAAACCCGCCAGCCTCTTTCTGGGGCTGACAGCCTCTTTCTGGGGCTCCAAGGCTTACCTTTCCTCTCCCCGATCCTTTGCATCCAGTATAACCCAGCTACTCAATCCACTCCCTGGGAAATCTTGGGGCTTATTCCAACCCCATCTGCCTTTGCATCCCTGTGTGGCATTGCCACGGCCAGGATCTCAAGTCAGTCCAACACCCAAGTTCCTGAGGCTAAAATCATTCTTAGAAGATTCCAGACCTAAGGAGAAAGTCTAAAAACGTCTGACCCACATTGGAATTGGGCCACTGTGGAACTCCTGAAGACGACATCAATCTGGCCACGACAATATAAAATCAAAAGAGAGAACCAGAAGCTTAGATGAACCAGCTCTTCATACCCAGAAAGTAAACCACAAAGACACATAAAGTTCAAAAAAAGAAGCAGAACTAAACTTGAAGGCCCGAGTATCACACAAGAGTCAGAAACTACAAAAGAAATTCACATGTCAAAATCACAGAGAAAAAATAATAACATGAAAAACCAAAATAACATATCCCCACCAAATACCAGTAATCCTCTAGAGGAGCACAATGAGAACCCCCCTAGAGACAATGCAGGACATGGAACTCAAAAGAACAATGATGAATATGATAAAAGAATTCACTGAATTTAAAGAACACACAAACAAGGTAATCATACAGCTGAAGGAAGGTAGGGATAAACTTCTGAATGAATTCAGAAAAGAGCTAGAAATATTGAAGAATACTCAGGCTGAAATAAAGAACGAAGTGAAACACTCCATAAGCCAATTAGAAACAACAGGA